TATTTTAAAACACACTAGGTCCTTTTATACCTGTGCCTTTACATTGGTTTTCCTGATTGCAAGTTAAGACTACCTTCCCCCAGGACAGAGGCTCTGTATTTTGCATTCTCAGCAGTTTCCATGGTGTCTGGCACATAAAAGATACTTGGTAAATGGCAAAACGATCAACTGGTTCTCCTACTTTCTTTCCATCCACTCTCAGGGGTAACCAAGCAGTTCTCCATGGTCACATCCACCCAGCCTCTACGCTTAAATATGCTATTGTACATTCAGTCTAGGCAAATGCTTTTACTTTTTCACTCAGGTTGGATGCCAGTGAGATCCAGGTGGATGAAACGATCTTCCTGCTGGAGTCTTACATTGAGTGCACCATGAAGAGACTGTGACCCAGAAGATCTTCCCCAAAAGACTGGGGGTTGGGGGGATGGGAAGCAAAATAAAGGAGGTGCCTGGATGCATTATTTGCAATACGATAAGTTGCAGATCCTTTTTTTTTTTTTTATCTTACTAAGTTAAAGCGTAAGTTGCAGATTCTTGAACTAAAACCGCCTCTCTATCCCTACACCTGGAAGAATTTGACATATTTAGATCCATCACTATATTGTCCCCTCATCAAATCTTGGCAGTGGGAAGAACCTTAAATCCACAGGATTAATCATCTATCAGATGCATCCGTTCCCATAAAGAAGTTACCCACACGTATGTTTGAACATCCCTGGCAGTAGGAAACTTCTGAAGTTAATTTTATTTTCAAATGTCTAGGCCTTTTCTTTATTTTGTTGAGAACTATATATATATATATATTTGGGTTGTTGTTGAGACAGGATCTCATTCTGTCACCCACGCTGTCACCCAGAATTTATATATATATAAATCACTGGCTCCCTGCAACCTTGACCTCCTGGGCTCAAGCAGTCCTCCCACCTCAGCCTCTGGAGTAGATGGGACTTCAGGTATGCACCACACATACCTGGCTTTTTTTTTTTTTTTTTTTTTTTTTTGTAGAGACAGGGTCTCCCTGTGTTGCCCAGGCTGATGAGCTGTAATTCTGCACACACACATGCACACATACATACTGTGTAGGGAGTGTGAAAGACTATCACAGAGTAGAGGAAAATGTTATTTTCAGGGTTAGCAGGTGGATTGGCCCAAGCAGTCACGCTAGAATCTGTGGACTGAAGCCACATTTGCCAGCACTAGGCTTCTAACATGTCTGAAACTATGTGCATAGAACAGCCCAGTGCCTTGCATATGGAAAGCACACAGTAAACTAGTGCCTTCCTCTTTCCGTGGTTCCTTAAAAGTGGCAACACTTAAATTCTCTCTCAGTATCATGGATATAATTTGTCCCAGCAGCTTTAATTCATTTAAAGCAGTCATGTTGTTTTATAATATCTTCAGTTTTCTCTCACCAATGTGTTTTCTAATTCTTTAAACACTTGAGTGCCAAATAATTGCCAGCCACCATACTAATCACAACATACAAAGATAGATAAGACACCATCTCTGCCCTCAAGCAAGTCACCATCTAGTGAGCACCTGTTTTGTGCCAAGTACTGGGCTAAGCCTTGGGAATATAAAGAGGAATAAATCTCGAGCATACAGTCTAGCAGGAGAAGACAAATACCAGGAAGTATTGGGGTGCTACAGTACAAGAGTAAATACTATGTACGGAGAGGCCAGAAAGGGAAAAAAAAGGGTCAGGCAGGAAAGGGAACAGAGAGAAAGTGGCAATGTATAGTTTGAAAGATGAGGATGTTTTATTTGCAAACTATTTAACAAGGAATTAATAACCAGAACATACAAGGAGCTTAAGCAATAGCAAAAAGAATAATCCAACTTAAAAATGGCCAAAAGAGGTCAAGAGATCGAGACCATCCTGGCCAACATGGTGAAACCCTGTCTCTACTAAAAATACAAAAATTAGCTGGGTATGGTAGCGTGCGCCTATAGTCCCAGCTACTTGGGAGGCTGAGGTAGGAGAATTGTTTGAACCCAGCTACTTGGGAGGTGGAGGTTATAGTGAGCCAAGATCACGCCACCACACTCCAGCCTGGCAAAATGGCCAAAAGATCTGAATAGGTATTTTTCAAAAGACAAATGGCCAACAGGTATATGAAAAATTGTTGAACATCACTAATCAGAGAAATGGAAATCAAAACCACAATGAGATGTCATTTCACCCCAATTAGTTACTTTTATCAAGAAGAAAGAATAATGAATGCTAGTAAGGATGTGGAAAAAGGAGAGCCCTCATACATTCTTGGGAATGTAAATTAGTACAGCCACTATGGAAGACTACAGAAGTTCCTCAAAAAAATTAAAAGAACTGTATGCTCCAGCAACTCCACTACTGGATATATATATATGCACAAAAGAAAAATCAATATATCAAAAAGATAGCTGCATTCCCTTGTTTACTGCAGCACTTCACAATAGCCAAAACGTGGAATCAATTGACTAGGTGCCCATCAGTAGATGAAAGGCTAAAGAAAATGTATTATTCAGCCATAAGAAAGAATTCCTGTCATTGGCAGCAACATGGATGGAATTGGAGGTCATTAAGTAAAATAGGCCAAGCACAGAAACAAATATTGTGTGTTCTCTCATGTTGGAGCTAAAAAAGTGGATCTCAAGAAAACAGGGAGTAGGGCTGGGCACGGTGGCTCACACCTGTAATCCCAGCACTTTGGGAGGCCGAGGTGGGCGGATCACGAGGTCAGGAGTTCAATGCCAGCCTGGCCAACATGGCGAAAACCCGTCTCTACTAAAAATACCAAAAAGAAAAAAAGCCGGGCACGGTGGCTCAAGCCTGTAATCCCAGCACTTTGGGAGGCCGAGGCGGGTGGATCATGAGGTCAAGAGATCGAGACCATCCTGGTCAACATGGTGAAACCCTGTCTCT